CATTTAATCTTTTTGGTTTGTTTCTCTACTTGATGAAAATATCTTATAAGGTCATTAATAGAAATAAAATGACATAAATTGACCAAAAGTACTAAAGTATGATAAAGCAAAAGGAGCGAATGTGAGACTATATCACGGTGGACTTCATTATCTCCCTAGTGGCAGGTCGAACCCCGTTTCGCGTCGAGAACAGCCTTAAATCTTCATGTAAAACAAACAAAGAATCATAAACATTCCTATACCAGTTGTTCCATATATACATGATTTAGCTGCAGAAGTACTTTTCCACTACAGCTGCTAGATCAGATTAAGATCTGGCGGCTGCCGCAGTAGAATCTAAAACAGTTTGGGGTAACTTAAGCTTTATGACAATATCTGACTAGAGGCGGAACAATGCTCAGTGGTGCTGTGGCGTTTGAACTTCAGTCAATCGGTACCAATTGGTCTAAAGTTTGAAAAGAAAATATTCTGAACATGCCTGAGCCTTTAGTGGTGGTTGGAGCAGGATGCATCTTTGCTTCCAGCTTATTTATACATAATTCTGACCCAATGTATCCAAAAGATTAAATTAATGAGTTAATGAATTGCTTCTCGTCAGTTATTAGTTAGCCTCACTGCCTCTATTTAATGCTTATTTGAGCTGCTGTTAGCTTTTCATCATCTTTAACCAGTTATGCCATTCCCCTTTGATCTCTGAGGGATCTAAAGCATTTTCATCCACACCAACCACTCTGTGGAAAGTTTCTCTTCATGTGAGAAGAGAACTTCAGCAAGTCTACAACGCCTGGCTGAGTTGTTGCCATGGCATTAACTTGTTCACCATTTGTCTAAATAACTGAACATTATTACCTCTGTGAATATAGATAAAAATTGAAAATCAACTATCAGAGTTGGGGATCCCTCATTATGCAGAAGGTGCAGCTTCTCACCTGCTCCAGCAGAGATCTGGCCTCCTCTGAAACACCCTCTGGGATGTTGAGAGCAGTGTGACGGCCAATTCCTGCTGGATGGCAGCTCAACAGAGACTGTGCACAGAGTAGGAGGAGGGGAAAGAAAAGAGGCAGATAAGCATCAATGTAAAACACAGAATGGATCGACACCCGCAGAGTCTAAGTCAGCAGTAAAGCATCGAAGCTGGACAGACAGGAGGAGACCAGGGAGTCGGAGCACCTGAAACAACACTGATCACACAAACAGCAAGCTCATGATCCCACTGCTGTTGCTCTTTCTTGGAACTGTGGTGGGAGTCAGTCAGAGGGAAAGTCACAGAAAGAATAAAAATATTATTGTTTAAATAATGCAGAACCTTTTTTAGTTGTTTTTCAATGTAAAATAATAAGTTAGATTGTTACCAGTTAATCTAATTATGAAATAAAATAACTAATTTCCTCTTCAACAACAAAAGGATAGAATTGGTGGAACACATCAGTCATAAATAGTGCATATTTTTCCCAACAGTTGGTGCTGTTGCCTTGCTGCCTCCCGTGAAAGATGCTCCAGGACTTCTGGCTGCGTTCCTACCAGCAGTTAAGAGTGCTTCAGGCAAGATCTTATCCTGCAAGGATCAAGAGACACCGTGTGCGCCTCTGTGTGTGTGTGTTCTTGCCAAGGCTGCACAAAGGCATAATCATCAAAGGAGACATCTGTGTGGCGGGGTTTCTATCTTTTTTTTTTTTTTCCACCCAGGTAAGTACATGTGTATTGTTAAGCGTAGCATTAAGCCAACATGGACAGTGGATAGGTAAACATGCTCACGCACAATTAGAATTTATTCAAATTAGGCAGAAAATGAGAAATGTAGACAAGGCACCTGCACTCAGTGACTGTAGTTGAAGCTATGCTTTCATTTCTTCTTCAGAATAAAGGGTTAAAGTTGTAATCTGCAGATTATAAATATATTCAATGCCCTTTAAAAGTATTCAACCCTTTAAACTTTTCACAAACTTTTCAGCATAACTGTAAAGAGGAGGAAAGGGTACATGGTTTTGAAGGTTTTCCTCTTATCCCCAAATAAAAACTTTGCATCAGTGCAGACTTCTACCAAATGAATACAGAGCACTTTGAGTCCTACATTAATGACTGGAAGCATCTAAACGATGCAGCTTTTTGCAACTTTACAAAGTATCACCAAAACACAACTGAAAGGAGTCCCAGTTATGCCATAGCTCCGCTAGCTTTTCTACAC